TGTTTCGTATTGAGAGCAGGCCTACTATTTTCAAATTGCGCCCGCAAGCGCTAGTCTTCTTATAGATATGCGGTAGCTGGATATTGCATCGACGTTTAGCAGGAACAGAGACGTATATATTGCATATATAAACAAGACCACCTACATATGTATATCTATTCAATGTTTCTTTCTATATGTGAATTCGACGCTTTTCGTTAATATGTTATATGCTAGGCATAAAAATTAACACTCACATGTGAATTAAATTGGTATTTTTGTTTATTATGATGATGATGACATCAATATGATAACTACTTTGTATCACGATGAATAATGATTTTATTATTATACAATGAAGATGATATCAGTTAGAAAATTGATGATTGCATGAGTATGATAATGATGAAATCAGTGTGATTATGACGATGATGATGATGATGATGATGATGATGATTTTAGTGTTTTGTTGATGGAATTGGTGAGAGTATGATGTTATTTTTATTTTTAACTATGAAGAAGTTTATGTCAACGTCATGATGAAAATGTCTGGGTAATGATGAGGATGATTTAAATGTCATATGATGATGATAATGATACCAGTTTGATGATGAGGATATTAGTATGAGAATAATGTTGATTTCAGTCATGATCATGATGATGATGATAATGATATTAGTTTGATGATGACAACAGTGTGCTTACGATATTATTGTGAGAATGATGATGATATTAGTTTGATGATGATGACAAGTGTGATTATGATCTATATCATTAAGAGAATATGGATGATTTTAGTCGTGATGATGATAATAATAATGATTTTTTTTATATGTCAACTGCATGATGATTTTGTGTCATGATGGTTATATCAGTGGGATGATGATAATGATGTTGAAAATGATGATGATGGTAATGATGATGATAATGATGATGATGATGATGATGATGATGATGATCATGATGATGATGATAATTATGATGATTATGATGATGATGATGATGATGATGATGATGACGATGATGATGATGATGATAATTATGATGATTATGATGATGATGATGATGATGATGATGATGACGATGATGATGATGCTGTCTGTTTGGAGTGTCATGACGATGAAATCAGTATGATGATGATTTTACTGATGTCAGGATGATAACAACGAGGATGATGTCAATTTCATGATAAAGATATTGGAGTGATGATGATGATGATGATGATGATGATGATGATGATGATGATAACAAAACATTATGAAATGATGAGTGAGTATATGTGAATGCAGTGATCGTGCGAATGAGTGTAAGGGAGTGTGAAAAATAAATTGTATCTATTTATGCATATTGTACCAGAATTACCTTTGAAAAATAAAAATAATACAAAAAAATAAATATACTAGGCATACAAGTAATTCGTTATACACCTTATTATATAATATGGTATGCAACTGCGTATATTTCAAATAAACGCAGATAGTACACATGGCTTGTCAAATCGTTTCTCACAATGAACAGCAAAACGATAAAATCAATTACTATAATGGGTTTCATCAATTCTATAAGATTTACTGAATGAACAATTCTATAAGACTTATTGAATAAACAATTCTATAAGATTTACTGAATGAACAATTCTACGAGACGTACATTCAATGCCATGACAGCTAAGTAATGAAATGGACTTCCGAGTGATCAATACTAAATAAATCAATAATATACTATCAATTTCGGACAAATCGTGATGTGTTTAAAACGCTGGTGGCTTATCTCTGTATTACGAAAATTTAAACATCGATCCTTCATTCAACCTTAGGCAAATATAGCCAGTGTCGTATGGAATATATATAAACAATCAAACTGGCCAGGATAGTACAGTACATGTACAATGATAATGTGTTTGACAGGAGTTGACCGAACATTTAGATTATCAGCTGTTCTTACGGTCGCCTGTAGTCTTTTGCCTGCGGCCTGTTGCAATGACACCTTTTGTGTCCGTCATGAACAACAGTCAAGTGAAATAAATAAATCGGTTGTCAAAGCAACACAAATCACAAATGTTATTTTAAGATATGTCGGGAACAAATGTGTGACGAACTAGACCAATTTACGATCCGAGATATGAACAGCCACACTCGGGAGACTCTTATTAATTCTCAACAAAATCTCGACTAAGATTGAAAAAAAAATATAATAATAAATCACGTTTGTATTGCGGCGAGATTTGGTGCACTAGTCATAAGTCAATTTGACGTAGATCGCCGAACGATCATTCACAAGCTATATTTGATGCCTATTCCTATGACGGAACACTAAATAAAACAAAACCCCGGATAAAAAGTTTTCTATCACTAAAACCAAAAATGAGCAATTACTTATGCTTTATCATCCGTGCATGTTAGCGTCGTGTGCCAAAAATACACGGGGGATTCCCCCGTGGTTTACAGATATGACGTCAAATATACGACAGTTGTCATTTGTCGACAGACACATGTAGTTATTTATTTCCTTACAAGTAGCGGAGCCAGTGAGAGGATAATTTATCATTGGCTATTCACGGCGATGTTGTTTTTTTTCTTTTCAAATTTCAATATTGCTACATGAATAACCTAGATCGTTTCTTACTTATAGAAATGTTCTTACAAGCCCCGAGCTAAGGGTTTGATTTAAAAGTTCGCTGCCCGTAGCTTGATCCCATATTTTGATTTTAGGTGGGTAAGACCTCTGTCATAGAAGCAATGATTGATGATTATGAACCGGTTTCTTTGATACCACGAGAGAGGTTTCAAATCTGTAACGACTGTGTCAGCAGGAAAAAATAAAACATATGTTGATTAAAATATAAAATGTTGCGTGATTTATCAGAATTTGATGTAATAGATGTACTTCGTTATTGTTTATACATTGTAATTGTGAATTTTGAATTAATTCATTCTGTTATCTGAAACACATGGCCAGGAAAATGAGGTCTGACCAAGTGTCAAGGTGACCACACAAACCTCATTGGCTGTAAAAGCTCAAAAGATGTCTCGTCCGTGGGGGAAAAAAAGGAGCTTCGTCATCTTCATTCGTAACCAATTATAACCGAAGCAGATGAATAACAATTTGTTTAATCAGGCGAGGTAACTCTATTTGGGGAGATTATCTCGGTAATTTAGAAGTTCATGTCAGTGACCTTTCCGTATCAACATTAATTAGTGTCTAGTGTCAACGGTCTTTTTCCTCAAAGAAAGCTCATAATTACTTAATGGGAAAACGTTAAGACAGTATAAATAAACCGCACATCAAAACAAAATTAATGTCATTCATAACTTAAAATAAACTGTTTAAAAATTACTACAATGTATATAATTGTATTAATTTTTAAGTTGTTTTTTTTACTTACTGTCGTATATGATGTTTTCATTAGCTGTTTCCCTCATCTTGATGAGTATGAAAATAGTTCTGCTTTAAACCATCAAAGAGTGAATATAGAGTTTCTAATCTAGAAGATTAAATAAGGACTTAGCACATAACCTTGTCCTATTCTCCTTCCATTTGCTTATGTTTGGCCTATTTTTCTCGCACTGTTGCATTTGTATCGTTTTGGATCTTGCATTTCATTCATTTTTGAACAGATAAATTGAGCAAGTTGAATACACATATTTCCGATACATTTTATGTTAAAACCTACCTGCGACGTCATAAAATGATAACGAATTGACATATATGGTTCCAGTTTATTTTGATGACAATAAAGGCGATATTGACATAAGCATGGATTTTTAATTCGCAATTTTCATGACAAAATCATGATCGTATGATTAAATGAGAAACATAAAATAATAAGATTTGTTGCAAATAAATATATATGAAGTTGAAAGTCGGGGAAAAGTCGTATGTATGAATGTAACTCTATAACGCGGCCAAAGATTAAAACAACGCGCGTATCTGATGCTACAGTATATTTCACGGATCTCTGCCACTATCTGTACGTCAGCTATAGACACCTTTACCGTTCGTACAGGTGAAAACTCCTTATCTTACCTGTATGAATGGGAAGGAAGGTGCATTTGACAGATGACAAACGAGTTGACGGCTAGCCCCGCCCCCTCCCCCTGGACCTGACGGAGAGAAAACACTGCTACACTTTATTAGTAGTTCACCGCCTTGGATGTTGTCAGTTACGTGTGAACGGATTTTCTAGGAAAATTTCATTGTCTCGAGGAAAAAGTCTTCAGCAAACGTAAGTAGAATTGAACTTGTGTTTTGTAAACCCCGCTTATTACCGAAGGGTAGAAACACAGCTATGAGTTATCAACCGTCTTCAGTCTTTAAGGTTCTAACACGTTCTTCTGATTAACGTTAAGATGCGTCTCTGATAGTGGACACGTTCACGTCCGATCGTTTCTTTTAATACAGAAAATAAACAAATAGATTCGTAACGGTTGCAAACTTTGATAATGCTTTCTCACAATTATCAATAAAAAGGAAGCGTCAAATGATAACGAATTTATATTAAAGATAAACAGTTTCTTAACTGTTAAGGTTAATTGTCCACTACTAGATTAGAGTGCAAGACATACTGACCACATGTCACTTCCCAGACATCGCACTGCCTATATAGGGTTATCATTGGTAGCGTGGTCACGATATACGTCCGTTTTACATACACGATTGTCTTATCTCAAGGAATATATAAGCTGTATACCTCTCCGAGTAAAGGTTAAGAAATTCTACGTAAATGTGCGATGTAATGATAAAAAGCTCAACATCATTTGCCTAATTCAACATTAATTATATGCGTTTGGATTTGTTGTCTCTATGTTACGGGCTTCCCTATATTTTCGTATGAGAACTCCTGGTATGACTTTTATTGCGTACTGAGGAGACAAAATATGTCAAATTGCTGACATACATTAAGACACCACTGTTTATTTCCGTGTATCCACAAAACTTGACGTCATCAAGGACGTCAACCGAATTTGATGGGTCGCAGTTTGCATAGTGCGTGTTGTCGTTCTGTCATTATCAGAACTCAATTAAATGTTTTCGTTATATAAATTCAGGTCAATATTTGCCTTATCTGTTATCAGGTCAGTGTAATTGCTATCTGTACTCGGGTCAGTGTTGTTGTAATCTGTACTCAGGTCAGTGTTGTTGTTATCTGTACTCAGGTCAATGTTGTTGTTATCTGTACTAAGGTCAGTGTTTTTGTTATCTGTACTCAGGTCAGTGTTGCTGTTGTCTGTACTCAGGTCAGTGCTGTTGTTATCTGTACTCAGGTCAATGTTGTTGTTATCTGTACTCAGATCAGTGTTGTTGTTTTCTGTACTCAGGTCAGTGTTGTTGTTATCTGTACTCAGGTCATAGTTGTTGTCTGTACTCAGGTCAGTGTTGTTGTTATCTGTACTCAGGTCAGTGTTGTTATCTGTACTCAGGTCAATGTTGTTGTTATCTGTACTTAGGTCAATGTTGTTGTTATCTGTACTCAGGTCAGTGTTGTTGTCTGTACTCAGGTCAGTGTTGTTGTTGTCTGTACTCAGGTCAGTGTTGTTGTTGTCTGTACTCAGGTCAGTGTTGTTGTTATCTGTACTCAGGTCAGTGTTGTTGTTATCTGTACTCCGGTCAATGGTGTTGTTATCTGTACTCAGGTCAGTGTTGTAATCTGTACTCATGTTGTCAGTATTTGTACTCGAGTTGATGTTGTCAATATTCGTTGTGCCTATGCGGGTTGTCGTTCTCGACTCAAATGATCGAGTAGAAAATGTTTGGTTGAACGACTTCATTCCGCAAATGGAATTCGTCAATTATTATTTTCATAATAAACACAGAATTTAGTAGAGATTGCATTCCGATTTTATTAAAAATGTCAGTTTTAGCACTTTTGTTCGAATCCTATAAAAATAAAAACGTGCAGATATTTCTTCTGAAATGACCAATTCATTGTTCCATTTGCATGCAGACAAGTATGAGCAATGCCATTGATTTTAATTGGGAATTACATGCCAATAGCCCTGTTTGTCACCACGCAATGAAGAACTTTTTAGTTCAATTATTCCCTCAAGTCACCCTGATGGATCCAGTGAATGGCAGCTTTATTATCGCCAGGTTTATTCTCTCTGTTTTTTTCCTTTGCTAAGTTTGCCAAGCTGGTAGTGGTCGCTTACGAAACTATTGCCACTCTGTGGTACGTAGCTCCGTTTGTTGATGGATAGGTAGGTGATTTATCTTTTCCTCGACAGCATGCTTATTGATTGTCTCCCTTCGTATGAAAAAAACCCAGGAGACCATCACTGATGCATGTATATGTACTCGTTAGAACAGTATGTAAAGGTATGTGAATGCCCCCGACGAGTTCAAATTTAAGTACAGCGACACAGGTGATACATCCCTACACGTACGCCATTATCGAACCATCATGAGGGTCGTCTTGTCATCTACTGTTAACATTTTTTTTTTTTTTTTTAACACATTATTTAAATTTCTGTAGGTATGCTCTCCGGGGAAATGAGCATGCATTTAAACTATGCAGTAAAGATATAGGAAGAGCGACCTTCAGCAGAATGTCAAACTTTTAAAACACTAGCTCTAACTGTCGTGCAGGTATTGTCTTTTTACAAGAAGGCAGTTGGTTACTTTCTAAGGTAAGACTGTTTCACGCTCTAACTTGTATTTCTGAAGGTATGCTATACGGGGAAATGCGCAATACTAGTTAAGAAAGAATTTGCGATATTCAACAGAACAGAATGTCATAACTTTGAAACAAGAGCTCTAACTGTTGTGCAATCGTCTAAGAAACCTCTTTTCAAGATGGCGGGTGGTGACTTTTAGAAAGAAAAAAATGGACGATCTTCAAGAGAATGCAGTGGCGGGTCCAGAGACCTATCGGGGGAGGGGTCCAAATTTTCCAGGGGGAGGGGGGTCCAAGTGGGGGAAATTTGAGTAAAATGGTGTAAAACATCATTTTTAAAGAAAATTATCAGNAGCTGTTAGATAAGACAGTGGACGCTTAAGTTATATTTCTATAGGTGTGCTGTACGGTAACATTGACAATAATAATACATATAGAATGGGCGATCTTCAACAGAATGTCATACCTTTGAGACACCAAGCTGTTAGATAAGACAGTGGACGCGTAAGTTATATTTCTATAGGTGTGCTGTACGGTAACATTGACAATAATAATACATATAGAGTGGGCGATCTTCAACAGAATGTCATACCTTCGAGAAACAAACTCTAAAATAAGACAGTGGACGTTTTAACCTGTTTTGGAGAAGGATGTCTCGCAATACCTGTCGTTGTTTACACCCAGTGTTTACGACCCTGGAGTGGCGGTGTCTTTGAAGTGTCGTCATGCACTGACGAAATGCATCATTGTTTCGTCACAGTGACATAACGGGCATCCCAAGACAGTGTCTACATTCGCGGTACTCAAGTCAATATTGACATTAATTGTATCTTACGGCAAACTCCGGAGTGAAGATGAGGTCGCTTTCACGCGTCGGATAGCCATTTTTGCACGCACATGTGTCAACTTTTGAACAAAGTCAGTCCCCGGCGTAGTAATACTCTTAGCATTTCCTGATAGCTAGGATTTTGGGTTGTTGCTGTTAGCCTCCTCTGTGACACGATATCACTAGCCCTCGTGCGGCTGTGCCATTAATGTTATTATACGGCATTGAATTGTGTCAACGATCGCTCACCATGCAGCATAGTCTCTAACAACACACAGTATTTAAGAGGAAATAGTTAATGAATGAAGATTTTTTGGCAATATTAATCAATTTTACAAAAATGAGCGAACGATCGCTTACGCAAATCTAATAAGAGCACAATCTCTTTTCATTACTCTACAAATAGGGTTGCTAACGAAACACTGTTTTTATCTGCGTTTGATGTTGGCGCGTCACACGAGGTTAGGAACGTGCAGGGGAAAAGATGGCCGCGGAATACATGCAAAACTTCCTGTACAAGTGTACTTCCATGTTGTAGCCTTTTGATTGTCGTGTTAGGGTCCTAGCCTTGTCTGGTGGTCACTGATCCCGACTGGACTCGCATTCAAACAAAAGAAGCGACGGTCGGCATTACCGCGGTTTCCGTGTCCAGTGCATCATGGCCATTAAGTTGTCGTAACCTATTCGTCTTATAGATCGTGGTACACAAATAATCATGTCTGCATTTATAAGATCGTACCGCAAAGGGTCTATCTATAGTATATGTCATATTATGGCTATCAGAGTACAAGTCTCCGATGATTAATGTCATTAGCAGCGGAAATTCTTCCTTGTTCGTTACATTTTTATCCTGTCATACATTCTTTGATAAATACCATCAAGGACTTCTCGACAAGTTTTCGTCTCTTAAATCTTGTTCATTTCATATTATCGTTGACAAGGTTTACAAATGAAATTTTCCCTTTCTGATATCTATTTTATATTGAAATTTACAAAGAGAAATGCAGGCTTCTGGAAATATGTTTCATATTGATATTTACAAGGCAATCTGCGTTTCAGAAATCTGTTTCATATCGAAATTTACAAGGGAAATCTATGTTTTTGAAATCCGCTCATTTCATATTGTCGCTGTAACGAGTAATCTTAAGTTTCTGAAATCTGATCTCTTAAAAGAGATATCTACATTTCTGAAATCTGCTGATTTCGTATTGTCGTTTACAAAGGAAATCTTCAAAGCATGACATTTGAAAGTTTATGTAAAATGAACATTTGCATAAAAGACATTCTCTTTTTCAGACATCTGCAACAGTTCATTGAGTTGGAGTTGAATTGTTACGCTATTAGTGCGTGGACAAAAAACAAACATAAAATACATCGTTGTAGCTAGTTCAGTTATCCGTGTGAAGGCTAAAAAATAAGATGAGAACGGTTGAGATTAGATACATTTTTATCTTAAATCCGGTTAAGGTGAGATTAGGTACATTTTTATCTTAAATCCGGTTAAGGTTTACAAAATGACAGGACTTCATAAACTCCAGAACGCCTCTGACAGATGCTTTAAGATCAGAACAGTTTAAAAACGTTGAAACTTCTACCAAATTCTAAATTCACAAACTGGAAATCTTGTACGCAAACAATGTTTCTTCTTCTAAGAGACAACTAGTATTAACAGTTTCCTGGATAAGTAAGTATATGATATCGTTTATTCGGGGTAGAGATCATATAACCGGACGTGTTAGCCTACCTGGATGTTTATAACGTGAGTTTAATGGCCGATCTGGCAGCGTAGTGATCACGTGATTGAACGAGCCATTGAATGAGCACTACAAAGGGCGGAAGGAAATCGATTACGTGAGCTGTTTTTTTAATTATTTTCTCATTTTAATTGATCTCGCGTAGTCTCTTTAATTGACGTTTGGTCTCTTTGGGGACTCGTGCTTTTTGCGTTTGTAGAAATTTCTTGGTCTCCTGTCGTGGCCGAACGCTTGGCGTCCCCCCGCTGTAGCTAGGGCAAAGATGGACAGATAACAACATATCTCGGTGCCTCTCCAAACAGTATAAAATTTGATTGCGGTGTCATTTGATCAATTTATTCAAGAATGGGTTTTAAAATGAAGGCAAAATGAGCAAGATACTCTTGTTGGTCTGTCACAGCAATGTAGTAAAACTAAGGTCGACAGAGGGTGGCCTTTCTCAATCACCTTGAAAGACACACACACATATGTGTTAACGGCATCGCAGGTCGGATATTATGGCTCGTGGCATTTTCTCCGCCATTATTCTTGGATTGAAATGCAATAAAACCACCCCGATAGTGATGGATATGCAATAGTCAAGATCGCTGGCCAATACAATGACTTTAAGGGGCCCTAGATAATATCTTTGGTCGATGTCATAATTTTGTCATCAACTGCAAAGTATGACGAATTCAAAATTCGTTTGGTAATTAATCAAACATTAAATTAACTTTTGAATTGATTTTTTCAAATAAATTAAAAAAAATATTGTATCGTATATGCCATATAACGGTATTTAAAATCCCAGAAGAGAGGTGCGCTTTGCGTTTGAAACATGTAAATGCTTGAAAGTGCGTGGGGTTCAAACTTAATTCAAGCGTTTGAGCGACCTGGATTCCGATCAGTCGGCTAAGTGTTAACGAATGACAGGAGACCGATATAGGTCAGCCACTTATCTGTCATCAGCCGTCTCCTCCGGCCCAAACGCCCCCGGGCCTCGCTACTCAGCCTTAAGCGTGAAATGTCCCGAGTTTTGTTGCTTTTTTATATGTACTGCCAAGAGTTATGAGATGAGGTTTCTCAGAGTAATGGAGTTACAAGGTAGCGGGTCCGTCAATACCACGAAAGCGCAAGGTCATGAAAGAGTCTCTACAATTTCAGGTACAAACTTGTAACAGAATTCGTGATCGAAGATGGTGAGCACAGGGGCCGGATACAGTTGAAATCTTATTAATCAATGTTCAATACGCGCATAAATATTCGGTAATTCCAAAACACAGGCATTTGAGTTAAGGTAGTAAAAAGCTAAGCATTGTTTAAAAACACACACACACACAAAAAGAGAGAGAAATAAAACGGTTAATAAGTTGACCGAATTCTATAAGCTTTTGTTAACGGTAAGCATGTGAAATAAAGAGACTAATTGTCCCGTTGCATTTTGACATTTGGAACACTGTTATCGATATTCATTTAGAAAAGATTTATCAACGCTATGATAAGCATACCAGTAGCAAGTTTCCAATACATGTATTTTCACTTTGTGGCAGTGGTGAGGGGGTCCTTACCTATATCACGAACAGAGCGGTGAGGGGGTCCTAACCTATTTCGCTAACAGAGTGGTGAGGGGGTCCTAAACTATTTCGCTAACAGAGCGGCGAGGGGGTCCTAACCTATTTCACTAACAGAGTGGTGAGGGGGTCCTAACCTTTATCGCTAACAGAGCGGTGAGGGGGTCCTAATCTATATATCGCTAACAGAGCGGTGAGGGGGTCCTAACCTATATATCGCTAACAGAGAGGTGAGAGGGTCCTAACCTATTTCGCTAACAGAGCGGTGAGGGGGTCCTAACCATTATATCGCTGACAGAGCGGTGAGGGGATCCTAACCTATATCGCTAACAGAGTGGTGAGGGGGTCCTAAGCTATATATCGCTAACAGAGCGGTGAGGGGGTCCTAAGCTATATATCGCTAACAGAGCGGTGAGGGGATCCTAACCTATATATCGCTTACAGAGCGGGAGGGGTCCTAACCTATTTCGCGAACAGAGTGGTGAGGGGGTCCTAACCTATATATCGCTAACAGAGCGGTGAGGGGATCCTAACCTATATCGCTAACAGAGTGTGAGGGGGTCCTAACCTATTTCGCTAACAGAGCGGCGAGGGGGTCCTAACCTATTTCGCTAACAGAGTGGTGAAGGGGTCCTAACCTATTTCGCTAACAGAGTTGTACGGGGATCCCTAACCCATATTACTCACAGAGTTGACACCTAGAACAATAAATCAATCATGTCTACCTTTTACGGAGAGTTTGTTGTACTCACAAAGCCTTGACAATGACAGCAAGAGCGTATCCAATAATATCCCAACATCATTTCATCACAAGTGATGACGTTCAACGCAAAATAGCGCTATTGGTAGCGTGTGCTAAATACAAAATTTGTCTTAATTTACTTTACAAAAGTGACAAACCCAAGTTCCATCAATTTATATTAAAATGACTCTTGTAGGCCCGGAGAGTTTTTGAAATGTTTCTTGTTTTGCTCCACTGCCCGAAAATATTTGACTTTCATTGGAAAAGTTCCTTCATTTTCAGTACCAAAAAAAGCTTCTCTGCCACTTAAATTTTGTCCATGTAATGCTGCAGTACTCAAAAGCTTGTGTCTCTCAATGGGAAGAGTTTCTCGCGCCTCGGTACGGCGCCAGAAAACTTGATACCAACAAATCTTTGGTTAACCTGAAAAATCAATACAAATTGGCTTTAATCTGGATCTCATTGAACGGCTTAGGTATATCGGATCGGACATATGGATGTGTTTCTGCATTGTATATGTGTAGATAATAGTACACATATTTCATTCAGCAACGCTCAGTCTAGAGGTTTGCGTACAGTTGTGACGTAAAACTTTGTGGGCGTTACCTGATACTGTCTACATCCAGTATCATAGTATTTTTTAAATGCCAACTGAACACATTCACACGCTATAGTCAAAACATATTTTTGCTGTTTCAACTCCCTTAAACAAATACATGTAGTTTTAATTTGAAGTAGCATGTCGTGTAAAACGCCAGCTGCACTTAATACGCGTTTGTATTTGTTTGTTAGCTGCTTCTAATCCTATGTACATGTATTGCCCAGGGGATCCCACTGATAATGATACGAGCTGCTATATACCTCAGGGGCTAGCCGGGTATACAGATTACGTACCCGGATGGTAAACACACGGATGGGTAGTCCAGATCCTTAGGTATGCGACTACCTATAGCGTTACGCCCAGTCAGGTTTCAACTGTAAAGCAAAAAGCACCTATACAGTATAACACTCTTGGATATAACACACATTGGCCATCATCTAACACGAGAGGTGAGTCGCACTGCCACATTTGTACTTAAAATACGATTGACATTTATTCCGTATAAATCAATAATCTATAAGAGTATGATATTTACAGTATTGATATGGTAGATACATCGATAACACATGGAACTTATATTATAAATATTTGTTTTTTTTTATGTTGATATTGATTTGTCATCAGTTTCAAATGTCAATTTCACACCAATGAGTACTTCAACTAATCAATATCAATTGTTACTATTCATATTGATGTGGGCCTGTGGTATCTTTTTAGTGCTGAAAGGATAAATAAGCATATTGATGGCATATCTGTATTAGTCTATAAACAGTTTGTATATAAGTTAGTATCGATTTCTCATCAGTTTCCACGGTCAAATAAGACACACATACTACACACTCAGATACTGACAATAGATGTGTCGAGTGGCAAGGACACCTGAACGGAACTGTACTTCCGGTTTGGTGAAGTACTTTAATAATGGTGATTCCCGCCTACTTCCGCCCAGAAGCTATGGGCCGGTTTCCCTCCGGATGTCCAGCTCCTTGTCAGCCACCGTACCTGTTGTACGTACACAGCACGTGGAGCTAATTACAACTGCCCCCGTATATAGCCCACAACATGCTAATCACACGCCGATAACCTATAAAGGCGAATATCGATCCTGGTTTTATTTTGGGATTTAATTACGTAAAATCAATCCGATTAAATCCCAGGAAACTACGGAGCTAGACTAGAGACGTTTGAGAAGGACAGGTGTGTCGGAACAGTTATAGTCGGCACCGGATGTTGGACTGGGCGCATTCTATTGCGGCTCGGACTAATTATGGATCAGACTAATTAAATGACGTATTTGGAACCTGTTGGGTTTATATGGTAATGTTACGTTTTGAACGTACATTCTATTGTCTTTTCAAGCTAATATTATTGTGTTAATGTCAAGTCAAGTCAAGTAAATTTTATTTAAAATCGTTACACTATAATAATATATTTACATATATTAATTGGTTGTATCTTATCATGAGTTGAACCTTTACAAATCAGCAGCTAGTACGTACAGAAAAGTAAAGTCATCATTTTGTTTTAGTTCTTCAAGGAAATCGATCTCTAGAGTCTTGTCATCGGTGACATTTCATCTTTTTGGTCGTACAAGGGGTAACATTAATTAACAAGGGGTTGTACCAAACTAACAGGATGTGTTTTTATTTTAGTAGTTACACATGTATGTCAAAACAATACATATATGGGCATCAATCTAGCTTGTTTTGACGAAGTTCATCAAGGCCGGTTTTTTATTATTATTATTTAACCAGAAGTCAAATAATAAAAAAAGAACCTTAATGACATACATAAATCTTTTTTTTTATAGACATGATGTCATTTTATACATAAATATTGATATACTTGTTGGCCGTTTTTCATCGTTAAGGAATGTACGCAGGTCGGTGTTTTTTCTCCGGGTACGCCGGTTTTCCTACACCACCAAAATTTGGCCCGTCCTTAAATGACTATAGCTGTTTATAGGACGTACAGCACAAACAACCCATCACTGTTACATCTCCATATCAGTTCCATAATTTCTAAACGTCCTTGTTTACAAGCTGGACTTATCACGAAGCACCTGTTACCGTAGATCGGCTGTAGAATGCCCTCGGGGCTTTACCGCGATGAGATAATGCGTTTCACTCCTGTGTAGTCCTCGCTGGTAATTGCGGTGATCCGCCAGCCTCGGGCTCCCCAGTGATCGATCCACGAACCCCTTTGACAATGGGCAGATTACGGGCTGTCCTTGATGTAAATATGTAGATATGACCCTATTTTGAAATGATATAGTGTGATAATAGAACAAGACAATTTTTTAATACGCCTGCAGAACAATTAGATTGCTAATACGTATTTTAGGGAACCGGTTTGTCAACAATTGTCAACGTACGCGGTCGGTGACCGTCAAAAAACAGTAACGTTATATTATATGACAATGATGCGGTTTTTATGATCGTGTCAGCTTCAATGAAAAATGTAGACCCCGTGTCCATGGAAACAGAGTTTGTCAAAGGCGTTGATGTCCCAATATAGCAGCTGTACCAGACCCCGAGGGGCTCCTGGGACCCCGAGGGGCTCCTGGGACAGCCGGTGAATTGACACTTGTTTGTCACAATTTTGGTTCCCTTATACGTACGTAGAAATCGTGTCTGGTTATGGTAAGGTCACATATTTTTAGCACCATGAGTACTAGTGTCAGCGTGATCATAGCGAGCGATCATGAATGGTAAGGTTTGTGTGTGTATAAATAACTGGCGTATTATCTAGTGGGAGTACTAGATAATACAATATATCAACTTGATATACCCAACGGACTTACAAAACTTCATCATACAATAGGAAATTGAATAATGACGTCAGCAAGATTGTTCGTAGCCGTTTTTTCTTCCCAATACGTTGCCCTTTAATGCTATTTTTAGAGAGTTTGTGACAAGGTTGGGTTGTTAAGATCCTCGCATTGCGTGAAATCTTTCGGGTAATTGGGTAACACATTATTTGAGTTATAACGTTTCTTCTCACATTCGTCATTCTCCTCGTCAACCGGAGACGAACTTAAAACTCATGAATTATTGAACAACATTGAGCACAAATATTCCGAACAAAAATTATTATGAAATCAATATGTACAGACGCATTTGGATTATATCTTTTAAAAAAATACGATCGTTATACACGTTAAAAGTTTAAATACTGTTTAAAAATAAAGTGTCAATAATTATAAGATTCATTTATAACACTCATGGTACGACATTTATGGATTTTATATGTCTATGAGAGCCTCCCGTCTGTGACCACTATCAAGGTCAAAGTGTACCATCATGTACCTGTAGTCCTGTTATATGCTGTTTATGTGACATCGATTCGGCCAAACACGACTTGTTGGCTTTGTGTATACAAAATATACTGTTAAAGTACTATAGAACTTACAACTAAATCAGCCATTAAATTGTTACCAGTTTAATAACAACCATTGTACCTATAAAACAAAAATAAATACAAAAACGAACTTGTTACTTATAAACAATGTGATAACTAACTTTGTACCGATTACACTGTTATAACTTACTTTTTAATGATGACAATGTTATGATTTATAGTTAATTATAGTTAACTAATAACGAAGTGATAACACGCTTTCTATCGATAACAGTGTAATAACTAACTTTGTACTGATAACAGTGTAATAACTAACTTTGCACTGATAACATTGTTATAACTAACTTTGTACTGATAACAGTGTAATAACTAACTTTGTACTGATAACACTGTAATAACTAAATTTGTACTGATAACAGTGTTATAACTAACTTTGTACTGATAACAGTGTAATAACTAGCTTTGTACTGATAACAGTGTAATAACTAACTTTGTACTGATAACAGTGTTATAACTAAGTTTGTACTGATAACAGTGTAATAACTTACTTTCTAACTTTGTACTGATACCAGTGTAATAACTAAATTTGTATTGATAACAGTATAATAACTTTGTACTGATAACATTGTTATAAATTTGTACTGATAACAGTGTTATAACTTTGAACTGATAACATTGTTATAACTTTGTACTGATAACAGTGTTATAACTTTGAACTGATAACATTGTTATAACTTTGTACTGATAACCTTGTTTTAACTTTGTACTGATAACAGTATTATAATTCACTTTGTACTGATAAGTTGTTAACAATGTTATTACTCACTATATTCTAATAACATTGTTATCGCTCACTATATTCTGATAACAATGTTATCACTCACTTTATTCTGACTCACTTTATTCTGATAACAATGTTATTACTCACTATATTCTGATAACATTGTTATTACTCACTATATTCTGATAACAATGTTATTACCCACTACATTCTGATAGCATTGCTATTACTCACTATATTCTGAAAACAATGTTATAACTACATGTAACTCTGTATTGATAACAATATCATAACAAAGTTTGTTCTGAAGGCAGTGACTTAACCAAATCTATACCGATAACAGTGTTATAACTAACCTTGTAACGATAACAAGTATTCGATAACTATAACATTCAAAGTATGTCATGTCGGTTAATTGACAAGTTGACCGCGACAGCCGGACACTGTCCCTCGAGACAGTGATCCGCCATGCATGTGTGAAAGAAGTTAAGGACGAGTTTAGTTATCATTCCCCGCTGAACGCATGTTTTCACTCCCACGGCACTCCGGTGTCCGGTGGGCCTCTCACACTCGAGCCAGACAAAATAATCCCTATCTGTAAACTCGATGTTGAATAATACTGGATCCGAAATATCGTAACACGAATCAGTGGATATACGCGCCGTGTGAATGACGTGAATTCGATGATAAGCCCCAATATCGTTTCATTCACGGATATATTCTGTGCACGTGTCACGTTTTACGAGGCGGTACGTAGTATATCGCGTAAATGGTTAGGATTTAATCAATAGTAATCACCTCTGGGTCATACTAATCGACGTAATTCGTTGGACATACACAAATACACGTACATTACACATTTTGTTTCGTCCATATATCCTTTCCACAGTCATTACAATAACTTCATTAAACATTTGTTGAAGCGTTGAAAAATATATACACACCAAATTTCACGGTAAATAAAGCCACAGGGTACGAACACGCAGACCAATAAATTAAAATTTACCTAAACTTAAAAAATTGATGACTATGGTAAGTTTAGACAAAATGTAATTAAACGAACACTGACGTCGGCAAATAAATACAGTAGCGTTGTTTGTGGAGATAAAAAGATTTTTTTTGTGTCTGCACAAGTTAGTCACCTTACCTTTTAGACACACAGAAATAGTTTCTGTGCATGTATGTGTGTTTATATGTGTACACAATTATGTTGATATCATTTTCAACTCGCATATAATTAACTCATATAGGGACGAAAAAAGGTGTATAGAATTGAACACTGAACTTCGTGACAGCCGAGTTGTGAAA